TTTCTTAAGGTAAAATTATAATAAATCACTATACTTAAATACATCATTAAATTGTAGACCATCTTTTATTGCTTTAAATTTTGTAAATAAATAACTGTAAACTTTTAATATTAGTTAATACTTCGCAGCTAACACAAGTTATTAGAAGGCATTAATTATATGATTAGTTATATAATTATGATTATGATTACATGATATTGATTCATAAATTGTATGATTAAAGCTATTTTTACAAGCATCGGAAAAATTTAAATCTTATAAAAATAAAACTTTTTTAAGAAAAAATTTAGAAAAATTTCACAGGAGTAAAAATTATTTGTTAAATATTACTTAATTCCTAAAATATGATTGCAAAGCGTTAAGGCCGTATCACACGTACACGTTTCAAGCAATTTTTCGCCCAATTCGTGCAATTTTTACTCAGTTGCCATTACAACCGCTTTTGAACAATTTTTTGCTAGCGAGCTCAAAAAGTTGTTACAAATAAAAATTGCTTGAAATTCCAGCCAATGGGGTTCTTCGGCGCCCTGTCATAAACAAGATGGCGGTTTCGGTTTCGTCTAACACTTCAGATATGGCGTATAATATTTTAACGGTGTATAATATTTTAAATAGAATGATACTCTATTTCTGCTTACACCCATCAACAAAAGCGCAAGCGAAATGAAAGAAATAATTTTGAATGTTCGTTTTCCGAAGCAGAAAAATCGGCGAGTAATTTTTCAATGTGGAGATAGAGCGCGGCTGACGTCAGAGCATGTCGTTTTGCTTACGGCAACCCTTCCCCCTCAGATTCGGCCAAAAATTGGACAAAAAAGTTGCATGAAAAATATACGTGTGATACGGCCTTTAGACGTTAAAAGTTTAAACTAAATGTGGTACATTCGAAGTTGGATTCAGTAAAATCTCCGTTAGGGTAACACTTATTTATCCAGATAGGTTGCACACAGACAACACTTGGGCAATAATTATGGGCAAAGAATACAAACGTTTTTTCATAGAGACTATATTTTCTCCTCACCTAGCCTCCTTGAAGATAAGTGATCGCTAGATGGCGCTTTTACCGCATCAAACAGTCAATTACAGTTATTATGACAAGAAGTGCTAATATCATAGATTAACCGTTAAAATTTTATAATTCAAGGTATCCGACTACGTTCGGAACCGTGATTTTGCAAAAGCGTATAAATGGATAATATTTATGATATTTAGTGTCACTTAGATTAGAAAATGTATATAAAACAATTTTAAGAATAGTATTCCAATAAAAAATTACTTAAGTACAATATATATATTTCGGCTAAAAATTAACTTAGAATTATTTTTTTCAAAATGTTCTCCTTTTGTGAAAAATGCTTCTATTATAATAATATTTTGCCTGTATATACCTCAGACCTCTGTACAGAGGCTCAACTCGAATCTTTAAAATATGTAATTTAGAAGTGGGTTTATCCGTGTTTTACGACAACAGAGGGGAGAAATTTTAAGAAAAAAAAAAACGCTGATAATTATTTCAAATGATTGTAGCTCTCAAAATAATGGGAATTTTTCAAAAATCATTGTTGAGCCTCTGTACAGAGGTTTGAGCAATATACAGGTAAAATATAATTATAATAGAAGCATTTTTCACAAAAAGGAGAACATTTTGAAAAAAGATTATTCTAAGTTAATTTTTAGCCGAAATATTGTATTTAAATAGTTTCTTTTGCCAAAATGTGTTCTTAAAACACATTTATACATGTGTCCTGATCTAAGTGACACTAAATATCATGAAAATTATCCATTTATGAGCCTTTTTAAAATCCCGGTTCCGAACGTAGTCGGATACTTTAAAAACATAATATATTTGTAGGGAAAAAATTCCAAATGTAGGGTTATTGTATTTCACCAAATTACAACGAACATTATATCAAAATACAAATTTATTACACATTATTCATTTTCAAATTCTAATTTAATTTTACTATGTATTTTAAACATTGTACATAAGTACTTTACTCCCTTTTCAACTACATCACTTAAAATATTTTACACTAATTCTATTTCTATCGTTCGTTATTTTATCCCCTCTATATTTTACAGAAACTCTCTCATTATTTAGTTTTATTTATTTAAAATGGCAACACATAGCAAAAGGTAACTGATGGCAATTGAAATAATTGAAACTAACTCTTAATGTTCAATATATTTTACAGACAAAATGATTTTTTTACATATTTGTTGCTATAAGTTCATCGACCAATGAGCGCATATGTTCCTCGAGCATAGTTGAGCCTCTGTACAGAGGCTCAACTATGATTTTTGAAAAATTCACATTATTTTCTGAGTTACAACCCAATGAAATAATGATCGGCGTTTTTTTCTTAAAATTTATCCACTCTGTTGTCGTAAAGCATGGATAAACCCACTTCTATCATATATATTTCAAAAATTCTAGTTGAGCCTCTGTACAGAGGTCTGAGCTAAATACAGGCAAAATATTATTATAATAGAAACATTTTTCACAAAAGGAAAATATTTTGAAAATGAGTCATTCTATGTTCATTTTTTTGTCAAAATATCGCACTTAAATAGTTTTTTATTGTAATAATATTCTTAAAACAACTTTATATACATTTTCTAATCTAAGTGACACTAAATATCATAAATATTATCCATTTATACGCTTTTGCAAAATCACGGTTCCGAACGTAGTCTGATACCTTAAATGATACATAATTGATGTATAATGGAACTCTAATCTATATTTTTGACATCTATTCCCTAATTTGGCATACATTGCAGCGACATTGCGTATTATTTCAAATATTTCCTACTATGTGGCACACTGAATCATTTTATTAGATTGGCGTGGCACGCCACAACTGCAAGGCTGCCGACGGCTGGCATATACTAACTCATAAGTTAACAGGAGTAAGAGAATCACTGAAGTATAACTATTCAAATCAGGCAATCAATTGTTTTAGAGAGAAAAAGAAAGAATTAAAAAAAAAATACTAGTATATGGATTAGCTTTATTTTCCAAAGATAACCAAAAACTTTATCCTTTTGAGACATACAGAACGTAAAAAAAAACTATTTATTTTAAGACTGTTTTCGCCATATGTATGAAAGCGTGAACTTGACGCGAAGCACATTTTCGGACAGAAAAAATACCTCAATTTTTATAAAAATTTGTGACATAGTAACTCATGTATTTGCTTATAATATAGTGTTTTTAAAATTTCAAATTATTTAATAAATAATTAGTTTTTCCTTTTAACATGTAAAAGGAAAGCTCATTTAGCATTACGATATAGGGGGAAAAAATGAGAAACACATTTTATAAAAGAAAAAACGTGTTAACTCGGATAAAAATGAGTAGTTTGATAACATAAATGGTTCTCTGGTGAAGCCAGGATATAATAATAATAAAGTTGGAGTCCGTTTATATCTGAAAAAATATTCGGAATTTGGTCCCTATTCTTCAACATTAGCCGAAGACAGCCTTAAAGAAAATAGTCTGAAAGCATCTATCTATTACAGTATGTGAGTAAATTCGTGGTTTCATATTTTAGGTTAGAATAAGAAAAAATAAAGTGATAGATATAAATTTCTAACTTTCTTTTACGTCAGAAACATAGCACGAACCTCGATTCAATAAAATAATGAGTAGTATCAAAGAAAACAAGATTTTCCAACTCTCTTTCATATTTCTATTCTGAAAAGATACATTTCCCTTATTTTTGAATGAAAAAACTAAAGCACATCACGTTAAAGTTACAGTCACGTACCCCTCAAATTTGGAGAAAAGTAGAATAAAAAGTAAATAAAATGTTTTAAAGGCTGTCAATTTGTGTCACCGAAGAAAATACTTGCTGCAGACACTAAATCCCCGCGGGGCGAGGTTTAACCATGCAGTTGAATGACTAGGCCACGTTTACAAGATTATTATGTAAGAAGAATTCCGATTGTGTGTTCAGCATGAACATCCGGGCTCTTTTAGAGGCTCTAGAGTGTCAAATCCGATATCGTTACACAACTTTTTCTATCCAAGTAAAGTGTGCATATGCAACTTCTATTTTAAGGTATAGTTTTAGGACCATTGTATATCTGCCTTCTGAGTGGGAAAAAACTATTCACTTTTAGGTGGTGGAATATTTCAGTGAAAATCTTTTATAACGAAATAGTTCGAACGAATGCTTATCCACAATCAACATAGGACAACAAAGATAAATATAAACAAGTAATATAAAACAAGTAATATAAAAAAAATCAAGTGTATTCCTACTTAGATCAACAAAGAAAAATTTTATTTAAGTTACTTTTTATTAAATAGTTACAATTAGAGTATAAATATGTATATACATATAACAGAATCACAACATTAAGGGATAATTAATTTTTATTAATTATGAGAGTAAAGTTAAGTAATGTCATCCAAAACCATCGTGTATATAAAATTTCAGTTCAACTGAATGCTTTAAAACGTGAGAAAAAAAAAACCTTTTCAAGTTTTGACACAATCGCCAAAAGGGTTGCTAAGTCGCCAAAAATGATGCCAACGGGCCTGTATTTGTAATTCTTTGAATAATTAATTTTAATCAATTAATTTTTAATAATTATAATTAAATTATTGTATTGTCATCCAAAATAATCATGAATACAAAATTTCAGTTCAATTCAGGGCTTTAAAATGTATTTTATTAACGATTGAAAATTCCAAGCTAAATAAATAAATAAATATATAGAGAGTGTGACCTAATAGTGTAGAAATTGAAAAAAATAAAGTCAATTTCTACTTAGATAAACAAAGAAAAATTTTATTTCAATTACTTTCTATTACATACTTACAATTAATATAAATATGTATATACATGACAGAATCACAATATTAAGTGACAAGATAGAAAGCGAATTTCCATGCAGTTTTCCATTTTTCTTTATATATACGGTGTTGGACTATTATTTTTGTTTGTTACTATTTATTCATTCATAAATCACGTTCTCAGAAATTTGACCATCCCAGGAAGAATTCGAATCCACAACCTTTGGATTAGAAGTCCAACACACTATCCATTGCGCTACAGGAACACAACAAGCAATTTTCCTTTTTATGTATGGTGTTGGACTGTTATTTTTGTTTGTTACTATTTATTCATTAATTAAATTAAATTTATGGATAAATATTTTAAAAAATGTATTAACATCAAATGTCATCTACTACAAGTTTAAAAAAAATGTATTTGTACTTGAGTGAATGAATATAATGTATTTTATTAATGATTAAGAATTTGAACAAGATATATATAAAAATAAATAAATATAAGGGACAGTGTGAGCTAAAAGTAAGAATTGAACAAACTATTCACCTTAAGAGGGTGAAAATCTTTCTAAGAAATAAATCAAATAAATGCTTATCAATAATCAAAGTATGACAATAAAGATTAATAAGAAAAATTACGTGCTTACTTCAATTATATGTTTAGATTTGGGAAAGTAAAGAAAAATTCGTAATAATACACATACAATCTAATTCAGATGCCATCTCGTTTTCTCAGTAAATATATCTTTATTTTAATGAAGCATCTTTTTTTTTTTAATTATGAGTTATTTTGTTTTTGTCTCTCTGAACATATTTTTAGGATAAAAAGTACGGTAAAAAATCCGGAAGAAAGTCTCCAAGGCAAAGGTGTAGCTACCGATGTATCAGCCGTATCAATGGTATGCAGCACCCAAGCTACAGGAGCCCCAACATATGTAAATACATAAAAGACACTGGCGTAGCTAGTCTTGAGTGGGCCACCAAAGAATTTTGATACCGGTCCCCGCTCAGTACTAGCTACGCCAGTGCTCTAAGGTAATTTTACAGTCTAACCTATAAAGCTACAGAAGCCCCAACATATGTAAATACATGAAAGACACTGGCGTAGCTAGTCTTGAATGGGCCACCAAAGAATTTTGATACCGGTCCCCGCTCAGTACTAGCTACGCCAGTGCTCTAAGGTAATTTTACAGCCTAACCTAAAGCTACAGAAGCCCCAACATATGTAAATACATGAAAGACACTGGCGTAGCTAGTCTTGAGTGGGCCACCAAAGAATTTTGATACCGGTCCCCGCTGAGGACTAGCTACGTTAGTGCTTTAAGATAATTTTACAGCCTAACCTATTACATGATATCAAGTTCTTTTCCAAATATTCAGACATTATATGTTAGAGATGAGGAACCTTTTTACCACTGGAGGCCGTATGTAAATTAAATTGTAACAAAGGAGACCGCATAGGGTTATGTACCTATAAATGTGACTTATATGAAATTATTATAATTTTTGTATAGATTTAACAATTTTGTACATTATACAGAAATATTATTTAAAAAAAAATTAAATCCTTATTTATTTATTATTTTACATAACAAGTTACAACATAAAATATTTTTTTATTCACATAACGGTAAAAACCGTTATCCTCATTGATCTCATTGTTTGTCTATAAGTTTATTAAATTCATAAGTATTGTTGTAACTTTCTATATTTCACTGTTGGTAGTTTTATTTATGTAAGCATATATATATACCTATGTATTTGGATCAATCTTCATAACGTGAAACGTTAACTGTTCCTCTACATGAGCATGTGTGGTAGTGTTGCTATGTTGCGCTAGGTGGCGTTCTAACATTTGAAATGTACAATTGGCTATTCGAACGAGCAGTAATTGAAACATACATTTATTCATGTTGTTCCTTATTTACTTTCGTTGATTTGCAAACTGTTGTTATCTATAAAATTAAATATTATTTAATAGAAGTGCTAGCTTTTATGGAAGCCGCACAAGGAACTCACGGAGGCCGCGGGTTTCCTACCTCTGTTTTATGTTATACCTAATGATAGAAACTGTCTATGAAGTCTTTTTCAGCCTTTTTAAATACTATACATCCTATGAACTATTGAACGCAATACAGAAAGCAAGAGTACATAAAATGGTTTGGTTTAATACGAACAAAAAATATCAATAATTATTTACAATGGAAAATTTTATATAGATTGAAAAAAAAACTGACAATATTAAATAAATAAGTGAGTGTTTATCAATGAATCAATATAAAGCCAATCAAGTTTCGTCCTCATCAAATAACGAGGAAAACACCCAGAGTTGGTAACCCCTCTCCAAACTATCACAACACATGAATGGGAGGATTTTGAACTACGACAGTTTTGATGTGTGACAGCTCCTCTACATGGAGAGTCTTTAGCGGCACTAGGGCTCGAACTTGTGACACACCGGCCACGAGCTTGTGACAATAACCACTCGATTACACAATGGTTACGTTTTCATTTCAATATAAACCCTAATAAAACTTTTCAAAGATAAAGGAGTTTCATATAAAGGAATGAAATTTTATAGTTCCCGACAATTACTTTGAGGAAAAGAAATTAATGCTCTTATTCAAAAGAAATTTGAAAAATAGTTATAAAACATATTTGCAGTTTCAAAAGCGTTAAACATATTCAACAAAAGACTTTCCAATGCTCTTTAAAAACGGACTGGGTTGAAACTCAGAAAAAGTGACCACGGCTTCAAATTCGCGTGCTCTCCATATTCAAGTACTCACATTCTTACATCCATGTTCACATGCCTTCCATATTCGAGTTCTCCTATTCTTGCATCCATATTCACGTACTCACATTCTTACTTCCATATTCACATACTTATATCTATGTTCTCATAGTCACATTATTATTCACATATTTAGATCCATATTAACATAATCACATTATTATTCAGAAACTTACATCCATATTCACATAATCACATTTATATTCACATAATTACATTTGTATTTACATACTTACATCCATATTCACATAATTACATTTGTATTTACATACTCACATCCATATTCACATAATCACATTTATATTCCCATAATCATATTTATATCCACATAATTACATTTGTATTTACATACTTACATCCATATTCACATAATTACATTTGTATTTACATACTTACATCCATATTCTCATACTCACATCCATATTCTAACATTCACATCCATATTCACATACTCACATCCATATTCACTCCTTCACATCTATATTCACTCCTTCACATCCATATTCACACATTCGCATCCATATTCACATACTCACATCCATGTTCACATACATGCATATTTACATACTCACATCCACATTTAGAAAATTCTGCTTAAGAGGCGTTGGAAACCTCTCTCTCTGTCTCTACTGACAATGTTAAACTGGCTGTTTTCTATGTACCTTGAAATTTGATCCTACATCCTTGAAATTTTTCATATATTTAAATTACACCTTTCTCATTATACTGAAAAAAGCTTTTAGCTAATTTTGAATTTTTTAATAAATTATGAAAATTTTTTTATCAAACATTGCGAAATTTGACCTATTTTTCACATAAAAAAATTGTAAAAAATAAATTTTGAGTTTTTTTACGAAAAGCTTATTTCAGTATATATTAGACATCATTATAAATATTTCACAAAAAATTTACATACCTCAGAAAAGGTACATCGAACATTAAAATTTACATTTTGAGATAAATTGATTTTAATGTATACAGTGAGATTTCTAATCGGCTAGGAAATAAAAAAAATAAAAGACTCAATTTAAAATTAAAGATACATGTTTTGGTTTATATCAGACGTTACACTTTTAAGCCAAAACCAAGTACATTGTTTACATTTTTCGCCATTAAAATGGGCATGGCCCAGATTCAACAATTATTTAAAAATAGGTTTTAAGGGCTTCTAAATACTCCAGAGGTTAAAGTAAGGTATTTTTAGAAAGGTTAAAATCTATACAATATCAAAATGTAAAAATCTCAAATTGTCAAAAAAATAAGATTTTAGCTTTCCAACACCTCTTAAATCAAGGATAATCCATTGTAATATAACTTGGAGCAAAATATATAAACATAAAATAGACTTTTTTTGAACTCATATTAACCCCTCATTTCCAGCTCTAATAATAATATTTTCAATATTTCCTATTTTTAAACCTCTTACATCACACAATACCTCAATTCAAATCCTCTCTGAACTTACCTACAGCATTACCCACCCTATAACAAGATCACTTAAATTAAAACTCTCCAAAGCTAAATAAATACCACTTAAGGCACGTCTCTAAGCCGTAAAGGCGAATATCATACACGAATCCGGCGAATATGAGTATCACACATAATCTCCGAAGAGGGAGTCTCCATTACAGGTCGAATGAAATGATATATAATAAACTACGACGTTCATTGATCCATAGATTCTCTCCAAGCAAACAGGATGTTATGGTACAAGATCCAGGATACGTATATATAGGAGTAAAGTCTCACTCTTGGCTGCAATATTGTCAGGCATCAAATCACAAAATAGGACACCCGTGACCAATTATGAGGGCCTTATGTTACAAAACAATGGCAGTCAAGTCAATATCTGTATCTCAAGGCAAGGTAAGCGTTTGGTGTAAGTTAGTGTGTTGGGGATCCATTTAAAGTGTTATAATTTGTCAATTTGGAGCAAATAGGAGTGTATGAGACTTTGTAGGCTGATGAAAAAAAATGTTTCCGTAAGTCTTAATAGCAGCTGGTTTGATTATTAGCATTAAATTGCCTGATACACCATAATTTATAACACTCAGGGGTTTTAACATAGTATATTTATTGAGGTGAAATCGTGTAAAGATTTCTTGCAACAATACATGCGCGTATGTATAAAACTTTTCTTTAAAAGTAAAATATTATTTTCTTATAAACTGAAATAAAGTTTATATTTTAAGAAGTAAACATTTCTAACCAAACGATATATGTGTTATGTTAAAAAATTGAAATAGTTCAAACTTAAAAGTAATTTTAAGACAAACGAAAGGTGAAATTCTCACTCCCTGACCTTAAAATATTGTTTTCTATATTTAGCTACTTTCTAAATGTGTTTGAAACAACATTACAGTGAATTATATTATATTCATAAAATATAAAATATTTATACAAATAGTAAACTAATTTATAATATATGTATATATATTAACGTTAAAGTATGAAATCCTTTATTTCACAGAATAA